TTTAGGCACAAACACCCTTCACCTTGAGCCAGGAATGATGATGGTTGGCATATTATGGGGTCATTTTGGTGCCCATAGCTGTGCCCATGGTCTGGAGGAAGTGTTGGTTATTGAAACAGAATCAGGAACAAGATTACAACTCAAAGTACAAACCTAAAGATATTACTAAACTTATACACTTCATCCTCACACACAACAAACTTCAATTTCAAGAACCAACACTTCCTCCAGACCCTGGACACAGCTATGGGCACCAAAAAAACCCCACAATATGCCAACCATCACCATTCCTGGATTCTACACCTGCACCTCCAGAAATGTAATACATCTCATCCAGTGCACTAAATGCTCTGATGGAAAATATATAGAAGAAACCAAATTACAACAGCATATCAGAATGAACGCACAGCGAAAATCCATCAAAGACAAAAATATCCAATTACCTGTGGGTGCACACTTTTCACAAGACAACCACCCTCTCTCCTGTCTCTCAGTTCTAATTCTCAAAGGAAGTTTACAAAACACCTTTTGTAGACAAGCCTATGAACTTCACTTCACTTTCATATCTACTGGATACAAAAAATCATGGACTAAATATAGACATTGGATTTATGGCACATAATAACCCCAGGTAACCTGTTTGGACTTCACCAGCTACATTCTATCACCAGTTCAACATTCCTCCCTTTCCCCTTCCCCTCCTCCACCTACTGTGTCACATCTATTGTCTCCCTTCCCTCTGATCCTCACTGCCACACATTTGCATTTTCACAGACCTGCATTTTGCATATTGGCTTATATTCCAACATAGAGAACACATAATACCAGCAGACTCTCTCTATGCCTGAAGAAAGGTGTTGGTGTTCAAAAGCTTGTAAAGAACAATTTTTCCAACTACTTATTTGGTCTAATAAAGGATTATCACATTTACCCAAAGAACCTTGTCTGCCTGTCCTTAGGCCAACACAGCTACAACCAACTATCTTAAAAATGCCTAATCGCATGGCAATCTAAATCCTCATTATATGAGGATTCAGATGAAGGTGCTCCAAAATGGAGTGCCTTTATTAACATCTGCCAGTGCAGTGAGGAGCAGCAGTTGGCTGACAGCCAAGCCCTGCTCCCTGTGTTGTCTTTGGAATGGGAGAGGGGAAAGGAGCAGAGGGAGCTCATTCTGAGTGTTGTCCAGCCAGTGCTGGAGGATGGGGCAGGTAGATTGGAGCCCTCTCCCTCCAGTGCTGGCTGGGCAACCTCCAGAGCTCCCTTCATTCCTTTCCCCACCTCCCATTCTCTAGAGTGCCAGGGCTGGGAGGAGCTTTTCTAGGGGAGGCAAGCTGCACAGATGCAGTGGATCTCAACTGCAGCTCGTCTCCTAACCCCCAGGACCCAACAGCGAACATCCGTTGGTCCCAAGGATAGCTGCCACTCATGACACTTCCTACAGCAGGGAGCTGTACTTCTGTCTGTATCCCTAGTGATTTCAGTGATGCAATGATGAATACAATTAAAAAAATGTGCAAATGCAACGAAGTCATGCAAGTATATGCAAATGCAACAAAGTTGCTTCTTTCTCATATTTAATATGAAGTAAAACTAGAAATTGAAATAAAGTAGAAAAGTATATCGTTCCTTTCTAAATATAGACAAAAGGCCCTGGAATAGATTTTACCTCACAGGCCAAATTTGTCTCTTGGATCAAAAAGACCACTTACAATTTTGCTACGAAATGGTTCACACATGCACACAACTTATACCAACAAAAATTTTCTGATATAACTTATTTTAGGCAAGAACTGCTTGTTACATATCTGCATCTATACTAGGACTTTTGCTAGCATCGAAATATTGGAAAGATATCATAAAATTAACCCTAACTGACATTGCTATGCCACCACATTTTCCAGTGTAGACCTGGCCTTTGAACCACTAAAGGACCTTTTCTTCCTCCCTAGATAATCCCATGGAGGTTGGAATGCAAATATTTAGCAATACCTATTTATGGTTTAACCAAACTGATTACTTGAAGAAAGGTGAGAAACCGAAGGTAGGCATGCTTGCTTCACTGCATCCCAAGGTCTCAGATACCATAAGATGTCTTTAACATGGTGAGATTTGTAAATACATAATTTATAGGTTATTTTCATTCATATTTTGGGTTTTGAACTTTTTTCAGTGAGCTTGAACCCTGATTTCAAGTTTCTCAGCACTCACAAGGACTAGAAGGCTGCTTAAAAACAATACAATCAGCTGAGATTCTCACAGAGCTGCTGATTTTGGTGGGGAGGGGAGAGGGAGCAACCATCAAATAGCTTGAAACTCATTATAGAAATCACATGAGTTGGCAGCTCTATCACGACTACCATCAATATGGAGCAGAACTTGGATGAGCTCAAGCCATGGATATAGAACAGATGGTTGTAGCAGAACTTGTGCAAGATACATGTGATGGTGGTGGGCAGAGGAAAGCATGATAAAGAGTGCAGCCATGCTGCAGTTCCTTTTAGCTGAAAATGCCCACAACTGGTCAATTCTGTCTGCAGCATAGCATGCTCTTTGATTCCTTGCTGATGCTAAACTCTCACATAACAGCATATGTAATATATGCTTTCCACAGACTCTGGTTGGCTAGGAAATCCCATCCCATATGGGTGATCAGTCACCTTGCCTTAAGTTATGCATGCCTTTACCACTTCTTGGATGGGCTACAGCAATACAACACACATGGGCTCAGTGCTTACTAAACTCCAGCTACTATAGAATGCTGCAGAATGTTTCCCCAGCAACACAGGTTACTTCATCAAGCTCATCCTCCACTCCTTACACTGGTTTCCCACAGAAACAAGTTCTGGGACCTCAGGGATCTAGGTCTAATCTGTATAAAAGATCAACAAGAGCTCCAGGACGGATAACTTCATTTCTGTGGCACAATGAAACTCACTACAATAACAGTAAAGCTTATCTGTGCAGGAGACAAAGCTTTCTCCGAGGAAAAGCAGAGGCTGGAATTCTCCAGGGACAAAGCCTTTTATCCTGGAATCCTATAGACCTATACATTTGAGTGTCCCACTTTAAGTACTTGTTATGTATCCAAGATAATACTTTTTCCTGCAACAATTTTAAAAGCCATTTAAGCTGCATGTGGAAAGGGCTATAGGGCTCCCTGGTTTTGACTTGTTCAGACAAAACCAACTCAGCTGTTACAGTCTGTTTTTACCTTCAGGGGTCAACCACACTACGGAATAAACTGCCGCAGAAACCAAAGGCAAACCCTCTTCCCCTCTTAATGCCCTACATTAAGTGCAATGTACATGTCTTTGACCTTCTTTTTTGTAACACAGACATATAGCAACACTTTATTAAAAAAAATTGAAACAGAATGCTACACTGCACACATTTCTGCCCCTGGGGAAAGCATGAGAGAACAAGCATGTGACAGATATTAGTCACATTGCTTAATTCATCACTGGAAAGTGATGGTTATGAACATGGTATGAAAACCTTTATAGAACACAACAGAATGCTGTATCTGATATGATAATGAACTCTGAAAACCTCTCTGAATATCAAATGACTTAACATGGACCTGGGATTTGAAAAACAAAGTCCTGTGGGACTGAAAAAAGCTGTCTGAGAAAGGAGTGGAGGAAGTGTCAGGCTTAACAGCCACTGACTCTGAGATATGCAAGCTATTCACATTTCATTTTGTTTTAACTAAGCAAAGAGTTGTCTCAGCTTATTCAGCTCATGAGAAAAGTAAAGCTAGGTTAGCAAACAGTTATTTTTTCTTTTATTTTCTTTTATTATTCCATCATTACTAAATCTTGCTTTTAAATAGCCACTTGCCTTGTGGATACTTGGCTACATAATTTAATGCAAGCAGCACCAGACCAGAGGTTTCCTTTCAGCCTCTGAAGAGAGGCAGAGAAAGATTAAGAACTTCTGTAGCCTCAACCCCATTTGAAGTCTCCATTAAAGTAGCAAGGGTGAGTCACAAAGGGCAGGTAAAGAAAAGGGGAGAGGCCTTAAAGAGAATAAGGAGATGGACACATTGATGGGCTGCAAGTGACTGCTATGAATAGACAGGATGAGAAAATGAATTCATATTTTAAATTGTAGTCTACCCCAAGGACTGATATGACTAACTTTGGTCACAATTTATTAAACAGCAAGATGCTTTAAGCAGAATTTAAGTATGCCATTGCAGGATTTCACTCAAATCTTTAGATTAGATGTACAAAACCAACAGTGTCCTATTTCTAAAGTGTTCTGCTAACACATGCCCATTTCTGCTTATGTAACCATGAATTTTAGCTTGTAATTACCTGATCTAAATGGGCTAGTATGGGTTTTATACCTCTCCAAATGGTAAGCATGTCACTTTCTAACCAAGCAAAAAGTAAATTAACTCCCCTTCAGTCTTCTCTTCCTCTTGTGTTCTACCAAAATCCTAAAATCCCAGCAGGGAAAAATCTTTAGAATACCAATCCTGAATTTCTTGAATAGCTATTAAAATGGCAGGACCTCTTGTAGCTTCAGCTGAATCAAATGGGCCTGAAATTCCACTCCATTCTCCCCTCTAATGTTCATTTTCTTTCTGGAGACTGCTATGCTAGCTGCTGAACAGCTTCCATTCTATTTTCCTGCTGACTAGTATCCACATTTCAAATTCGTACCACTGTGAAAAAGTAAAATAAGGCTCTGTGAATAGGATTTTGTAACCTCCCACCCATGGTGTGCTTGCATCAGGACAAAACAAGATTCATACCAGTACCACTTACCTGATGAAGTTACTAGTATGGTGATGCAAGTTCTGTTTTGTAGTGATGTAACATCATAAGATGTGTACTACACAAGCTGTAAAGTGAGATTGGCCACTTCTAAGACTGGAAGACATTGTGCAGCCAGGCTAAAAGCTCAAAATCCATTAGATATCAACAATAAATAACAGGAATTCCTTTGAAAATTTGGTTTATAGAAAACACCAATGTCTAGGTACTTACCAGCAATGGATAAGACAGCATCAAAGCACTCATTCCGATATGGTAGGCACAGGCTATGACATAGCATTACTTCATGGCCATCATTTCTTGCTGTCTCTACCAAAGGGAAGCAGTAATCACAGCCCAGTTTATAGACTTTTGAATTGATATGGAGATATTTGCCATTTCCACAGCCTGAAAAGGGAAGAGGAAAAAAGACTGTCATTCAATTTCTGTGCAGAAGATGCTATCTTGATGTAAGGGATGAGAAGTGCCCTTGATTAACCTCAGTAGTTTGTAAAGCTCCGCCCACTGAAAGAAAGAACAAATCAAAGAATTCATCTTGCCATTTGTCATTTAGCACAATGGGGACAGACAGTCTCATCTGTCTAGTAGGCTCTCTGCTGTGTGAATGTACCTGTTCAGATGGAATTGCCAGAGAGCATGTCTCTTGGCCTTTCTGTAGCATACAGAATCAATAGCATGTTATGTTAATGATGTCACTGCTTTTTTGGTTGTAAGAGACCAAAAATACAAAATGAAGCACCCTACAGTCTTAGCGTCACTTTGAATTATTCCTGTATATTGAAAGTCTGATAGATAAATTAGAATACTAAGTGATTAAGTCACAATTAGACCAAGTCATTACATCCATTGTTTTGTAGTTAACTGCTGCTAATAGCAGTTGCTATGTCAACTATGAAGACCTTCTTTTTTTTGGTATCTCCATGCAGTTTTCTCTTCCCAAAGTACAGTAATCCTGTGCAGAAATGATGTAATTATACTTTAGCTCAGACCTGTTTTAGGCTATCATATTAAAATAAGTTTTAGTTATCTGAATCTGTGCACTATTAAATCAGAGAGTTTACAAAAGCATGTTATCAAATTGCAGATAAGAAAGTTACTCAATCTCTTTTCTCATCTCCTGCTTGTTGGTCTGTTATTAAAAAAACAAAAACAAATAGGTTGGGGGCAGCAAGTGCATTCAGTTAACACAATGACCTTTCATTTCTGAAAACCTCAAGTTAAAATTCTGTTTTGATACAGATAAAATTAAGTTGGTTCATAGTGCATATGTATTTGGC